TCCAGAGGACCGAGATTTTGCCCTCGGAGCTGGCGTCAGGTCGGTTGAGTTTTCTGCAGACGCCCGATATCTTACTGTTGGGGATTTCAGCAGGTCTGTCTGTGTGCTCAATATGGCCTCTGTCACCGAGACAATGCGACTCCGGCACCCGAGAACTCTCGTACCAAAAGATACCCTCCAGGTGAGTACCCAGATTATTGGTATTGCTAGCGCCTGCCCTGACTAACTGGGCGCTGCAGGTTTGGCAGGAGCAAATTGCCGTGTCGCATGCGAGGCCTACCGTCCACACCTTTTTGCGCACGACGCAGGGTATATCACCCGCCCCTGCCTTAAGGGACAACTCAGAGCCAGTTTCCGGATGCGCCTCGATTTCGTTCGATCCCTCTTCAACCCTTGTTGCCACGCGGCAGGACGACTCCCCCAGCACTGTCTGGATCTGGGACGTGCAGGCCGCAGAGCTCCGCGCAGTGCTCCTATTTCATGGCAATGTGGCTACCCTTTCGTGGCACCCAAGCATCCCGGAAACGCTCTTGGTCAGATGCGAAGGCGATCAGTACAATGGCTTAGTCTTCATCTGGGATCCTCTCTCGGAAGGCCCCCGGTGTGTTGACTTCTCCCGGCACTTACCTGGAGGCAAGACAGTTGGCAAGCTCCGGGCAATGTGGCTTGGGGTCGAGCAGTCGAGCCTTCCCTCTGTTTTCTTCTCGGACGCCCATCATTACGTGCTTGCATGTCTTGGCGAGACAGCCCAGGGCCCGGCCCCGTGGGGCGACCACGAGTTATCGGGACCAAGTCTGTCAGCGGACAGACGCAACGAACGTGAAGAGTCCCCCCTCCACCTGGTCCCAGCATCTCAGGCCGGAGCCGAAATCCCGGTCCTGGACGAGGATGATGACTCCAGTGAACTGGAGGACACCTTTGTCTACAAACGGTAGAAGTTTGTGGCCTGTCCCTTTTTAACAGCGTTGAGCATCGGTGACGCCGTTCTTGACGGGATTCAGCCTGGCGGCCACGGATCCGAGTGCTTGGGGGTGGTCGTATTGAGCAAGGCTTGGAAACACAGTCGAGACAGCTGCTGACATTAACAGCTCACTTGTCTCTCAGCCTGTGATGCAAGTCGACATATGCAAGCCCTGTCCCATTGGGAAAGGTCCAAGCACTCTCGGCGCTTCGAGTCAAACAGAAGGATGAGCGCGAAACCCCGCTCATGGCCCGGTTGCTTATTCTTTGTTTTTCCCGTTTTGGGACAGGGGGTCGAATCGAAACCCCAACGTCACCGCTCCTAGGATCCCCCGATCTTGTAGATCGATCAATACGATTGGTCGTTTCTGGTTGAGTGTCGACAACACCAAGCCCTTTGGCGAAAGCTCCCACTTGAATAAGCCCCCCATGACCAGATCCTCTCCTCCGTTTGTCCCCGAGGCGCCGATAGCTCAGAGAATGGTAGACGCTTCTCGAACATACCAACACGACTGCCGGGCACACCCTCAAGCTCAGGCTTCTCCGGGTGAACACAAATGGCCCTTCCTGGCATAGTGCGACTCTACTAGTGAGGCAAACATCACTGGCCCCGTCTCGGAATACAGGTGCATACAAGGAGCCGGAAACCGGCAGGACTCTCGCGTAGCGGTGAGTGCTTATTGCTTGAGCTCATCTACGAAGTATCTTGTTAGCGTACCTCAGGCGCTTGCGCGAAAGCGCGCGGCTGGTTACAAGACGGAGTTGAGGTGGCCGCCGGCATGGTGGCTTAATGCTCTGGAGCGCCACGCCAAAATTTCTTCCGCTTGATGCACCCTCGGCCGCGCTTGTGCAAGTCTCCGGCCCTTGTCTGTGTTTCCCCGAGTCTATCACACATGCCGAGTACCAGGCACAACCAACTGCATTGCTAGTTCCTCTCGTTCGTCGTCGCTTTTGACAAAATCCACACGACCCTGTTGGCACCCCAAACCCGGTCGGTATTGCCGGACCAGCGTCCAAGTCGACCCGGCTGATTGGACTGGCCGGGGGTCGGGCGGGGAGACATTGACGCCACGCGATGACCAACAAGTTCCTTCTCTGTGACCTTCTCGGGAGCCAGAAGACCATTCTCGGGCCGCCGATTATCTTGTCTGGTTTAGGGTCTTGGGACGTACCGACATGTTTGGTGCTCAGTCTTCCTTCGTGCCGTTCGACGCACCTCGGACCCGGGATGGGCCGCCATTGCACAGCTTGAGCAGCAGCCATCAGATGATTGGGGCTGACCGATTCTGCCTAATCTGTTTATTTGTGTCTTGGGACTCGAGGGGTCCGGCATGAAATGTGATAGCTCAAATGCGGACCATCTCCGAATTCCCGACACGAACAGCTGTTTGGTATCCCTGGCAATGGGCGTCGTCCGCCGTCGAGTCCTTTTTGGAAAGCTGACTGCCCGAGAAGGGCAGTCGGTTGTCCGGGAGTACGGTGCTTTTCCTTTTACGATGTAGTTCCCGAGCATCTTCTGGGGATTTTACGACAGCCGCATAACACAGGACCTCCCTTGTTGAACCTGATTATAACCTTGTCTTGGTCCGGAGGCCACTGGCACTACCTTCTCTCGACGAGGTATGCGGCGATAACCCAACGGTTCAGGTCGTCTTCTCTATCTTTATCTATTTGCGAGTCTTCGGATATTAAGCATCGAACAACAGCTCTGCTTAGCCGGTCGGGACTCCTGGCCCCGTTGTTGATGGCGTGCTATCGTTTCCAGCATCTCGATACCTTCCAAGCTTCCACGGCATCCTGTGACCGGTACCCAGGCACTGGTATACTCGGCACATCATCGTACTGCCGTGACTTGGTCTTGTCGCCGCCGCGTTGAAGACGGTTTCGGTCGCCGCCGCCCTAATCCTACCCACCTTCTAGTGAACGGACGACGACCCATGATGCATCGGAGCCAGCATAATAACCGAAACCTGGAGACTTTCACTGTGAAGCCAGGACCAGAAACGGGGTTGTATTACATCTTAGTTGCCAACGTATGTGAGACCCGCGAATAAGGTCTCGGGTGGGCATGACTAACTGCCCATGTACAGCTCGCCCACCGGACGACATGGAGAGACTTGAAGGCGTTTGCTTCCAAAGCCTGCGAGGTAGATCACGCTGAGGTCTACCCTCCAACCTCCGGATTCGTTCGGGTGAAAGGACGAGCCAATTTCGAGAAAGCATTCAGTTAGGTGGACTTCAAAGCCTCGAGCCAGACTGGTTCTAATCATGGTTGGTGATAGAATACCTCGATGGTAACACGCTTGAGTACCGCGCCCTCCAAGCGGATGCCCGAAACATGCATCAAGCTACTGTCGTCAAGCTTCTGCCAACCGACTACCACGCAGCGAGGATTTTGCGAGGAGATCACGGGAGGGTTGTTAGCGAGCCTGAAGATCCGGTCCCTGACGCTAGCGACTCATCTTCTCAGGGCGTAGGCACGGCGATGGGAAGCCCCTACCTGAATTATCATGGGAGCGCCAGCCCAACAATCAACATGGGGGATGCACAGTGGGGATATGTTACTTCGTCCTCATATGGCGTGAGTGGGAGCTACCAACCAGCCCCGGCCGCGCCTCCCACGCCGCCCGGCTCCTTGGGATACCATCAAGTGGGTATTTCGAACAATGGATTCATTCCGCAGGTAGCGGCCGGCCCTCAGCCTACAACATACCAGACGGTGGCAAACCCGACACCCGCTTTCGCCGCATCTGGGCTCACGCAATATCAGTACAGCGACCCTGCCGGGTATTATTCCCCGAGGACCGCGTACGGCGCGAGAGGGCCGGGCTACGCGGGATTTGTCCAGCCAGCAGCGGGGGACAGCGGCCACACCTACGCCACGGGAAACGATTGGCCGCCGTCCGACGCGATCCCGTCGCTGCAGCCGGGCCAAATCCCCAACTACGACAACGCCCGTCCGGCCGTCGTCGTCGAGCAACGCAAAATCATCATCCGCGACCTGGAAAGGGAGGGCCTCTCCGAGGCGGTGGTCACGAATCTCCTCGTCCAGCACGCGGGGATTGGCGCCGGGCCGGGCCAGGTGGAGAAGCTTGAGCTCCCGTTCAACAAGGACGGCAAGGCCAGGGGCACCGCGTACGTCACGTTCGGCACGGCGGCGCTTGCCAACGCGGCCGTGGCGGCCCTGGACGGGCGCAAGATGGGCGCAAGGAAGTTGTCGGCGCGATTGGTGGTTGAGGGCGTGTCGCCGGATGGGTTCGACAGCAGCCGGTCTGGCCGGCGACAAGTCGGCGGTGGCGGTGGTGGGAAGGCTTCTTCTGGCCGGGGCTCGAATTCGAAGACTGATGCCGGAAAGTCTCCGAGCCCGGCACAGGCACAGGCACAGTCTCAGTCCCAGCCTCAGTCCCAGCCTCAGTTTCAGTCTTCCCAATCCGCCGACCCGCTGCCGCAGCCTGCGTACTCGACCACCTCTATGTCCGTGCCCACGTTCATATCTGCGGCGGACAGCGGCCAAATGAAGACGAAGGAGGAACGGCCCGTTATTGTGGACGGGAGTGGGGGGCGGTTCAAGAAGAAATCGGCGCTGGTTGTGGTGGATGGGAGCGCGGACAAGAAGGGGGACGGTGGGCACTGGAGTTCTCGGCGTTGATGGGTGACGCCTCTGTCACTTCCTTTTGTTGCTCCTTAAGGGTTTAGGGAAACGAGCGGCGGTGTTGGGGCGGAGACGGAAGGGGAGTTCCGGGGAGTGAAAACGGTTGAGTAGAAAAAAGGAGATGATGGCGTTGTGACGGTGGGAGAGCGCTTTCATGTAGCTATCTGCCTTTTCTTGATTGATAGATACTCCATTTCGAACAGCGCGAACTTATCGACATATGTCACCCGTCCCTATTATCCATAAACTTTGCCCCTATCTCCACCTCACACCCAAGCAAGTCTATCGTCCTCCCCGGGAACCGCCCCAAAAGAAACCAGGGGGCATGAACAAAAGTCTCCGTCGCGGACAGAGTCGGAACGGAACATCACCGCCCCCGTTAGCTCTAGGGCGTGTGGCTCAGTTGGTAGAGCGTTCGCTTAGCATGCTTTCCTCGGTATGCGAAAGGTCCTGGGTTCGATTCCCAGCTCGTCCATAGAAAAGAAGCTAGTATGGTTGTGGTGTTGTTTCGTTTTTTGGCGGTGGTGTTGCTTCTTTTTTTAAAGGTTTGTTGTGGTGTTGGTTGGGTGGGATAAAAAGGGGGGAAGAGGAGATGGGGGTGCTTGTGGTGGTGTGGTCAGGTGGGAAGAAGAGAAGGGGACGACGACAAACAACTCTCGTAACACAACGCATATATTTACACCCATGTATCTCTCCCATATGTCCACCTCCCCTTCCGAAACATATTCCCCAGGTCATACACACACACACCCACTCACCCACACGCACCCTACAAACCCTCCCCCAACCCCTCCAACCCGACCCCCTCCCTCCCCAGCCTCGCCACCAGCCTCGTATTCTGCGCCTGCAGCTCGCCGACCCGCTCGCGCAGCATCTCGACCTCCTTGCGCGCGACGTCGCGCTCGGCGCGCGCGCGGTCGAGCTCCATGGCCAGGTTGCCGCGCTCCTCGCGCTCGGCCGCCTTGCGCCGCCGCGCCTCGGCCTTGCGCTCCTCGGCCGCCCGCTTGTCCGCCAGCCGCTGCACCTCGCGCTGGTACTTTTCTTCTTGCCGCGCCACGTCGCGCGCGTGCTTGTCGCGCAGCCGGGCGAGGGCTTGGTCGTCTTGTTGTTCTTGTTGTTGTTTGGTTTTGGAGTCGGTGTCGGGGTCGGTGCCGTTGCCGTTGGTGTTGGTGTTGGTGTTGTTGTTCTTTGCGAGGCGCCGGGCTTTGGCGCGCTCGAGTTTCTCTTGGGCTTTGTGCATGCGCTGCTGGAGCTTGCGCAGTTCTTTTTCGTGTTGGATTTGCGCGTTGGAGAGGCCGGCTGAGGGGGTTGGCTCGCGCGAGAGGGCTTGTGAAGTGGTCTCGGAGAGCGAGTGGGTGGAACGGTTGGAGCCATTGTCGGCTGCCGAAGTGGTGTCAACCTTGTTAGAGTTTTCGTCTTTGCTGGGCAGAGACGTGTCGACTTGAGTGGTGGAACCATCCTCGGCCGAGGCGAAGCTAGCGTCTGAGGCATCGCTCTCGTCGTCGCTGATATCGGAGTCGGTTTCTATGGAGGCGGGGGTGAAGGCGGCTACCCTGTTGGCAACCGCGGACGTGGCCATGCCCAGTGCACTGCTTAGCATGCCATAGATACCACTATTGCTGGCTGGCGGCTCGTGGTGGCCAGCTTCACTATCCGGAAGTTGATCCTCAGCTGCGGTGTCTGCTGGCAGTCGGCCAGGTCCTTCGTTGACCGGTGATTCCCCGGTTGGCTTTGTCCCTTTCTCTTTGCCCTTTTCCGCTATTGGCCGCGGATCCGTAAGTTCTTCCATCGTCAGCGAGGAAAGCCACTTTACAAACTTCCCAGCATCGTTGATGATCCCCCCTGGCGTTCCCTTCTCCACCATGAACCGCGGCACACTACCGCCAGGGTCGCTGCGAGTGATCATCAACCACTCAATCGCCATTTCCATGTCACTGTCGCCATCGTCAGATAGGCGAAAGGACACCGTCTTGCCCTCGCCCTCCGACTCGGCCTCCTCACCCACAGCCTGCTTCGCAGCACGCAGTACGGCCTCCTTGTTGATGCGCTCGCCGTTTACCGCCGCGCCATGTACCTCATCCCTGCTTAGATCGACCGACGACCTCACACGCCGCAGCGGTTTCTCAACGGGCACCTCGCGGATGACCTCGACCGACTCGTACGTCCCGCGGACGAAACCTGGCCTGGGTGGACAGTCGGGGTGGTCGCAGGGCCTCGAGACAACCATGAACTGTCTCGGAGCGCGCTTCCGGTCGCCGCTTTTCTTCTCCTCGTTGGGCGTCATGACCAACGTGATAAAGTCTCGCGGCGTCGTCGGGCCAGGAAATCTCGCCGAGACGTGGTACACTTTCCATTGTTAGCACCCCTGTATTTAGTTTGACCGCCGGGGGAGAGTAAAGAAACTCACAATCCATCTTCCCTCCCTCAAACTCCACCCCATCAACTTTCCTCTCGGCCCCGATCCCGCGAATATTCCCCGTCCCCGGTTCCTTCCCCGGCTCCGCCTCGACCCTGTCCAGAGTGACTTGCATCTCCCTCCTCAACGCGGCTTCCCTATTTATTTGTCAGTTTCAATTTTTCCCATCCCCTTTACACATCCCAACCCCATCAACCCCATCAACCACCCTCCATCAACACCCCCCCCTCCCCCTCATCCATCAACCCCCCCTCTCCCCAAGAGAACCGTCCTCCCCCCCCCAAAAAACCAAAAAAAAAAAAGAGAAAAAAGAAACTCACCACCGCTCAAACCCCCCCTCCCCCGGTCCAACGCGATGTAAACTCCGCCTCGCAAACCACGCCCCCCTCCCATCCTTGGCACCCATCTTATACATGGCAATGCCATGCGGGTTCCCGCTATTCCCGCCCTGCTGCACCTTGAGATCCTTCCAATCGCGACTCAACTTGGTCACCGTCGCGTGCCTGTCGCCATCGTTATCGTTTTGCCCCGCCGTGTTCGTCGGCGTGGTGGTGGTGGTGGTGGTGGTGGTGGTGGTGGTGGGAGAGAGGGCGGGGTCGGTGTGGGAGCGGGCGCGGCCTGGGGGTGGTGTTGGTGATGTTGGTGAGGGGGAGGAGGGTGGGATGGAGTCGATTAGGAGCTGGGCGTTGGTTAGGGTTGAGGTGAAGAGGTTGCCAAGCTCGTTGTCGTCGTTGTCATCTTTGTTGCCGGTGGTGTGGGGGGCAATGTCGGTGGCCCAGGAGAGGGGGCCGAGGGATTTGAAGGGGTGGTGGTGGGACATTGTGATGGGTTTGTTTCTGGTTGTTTTCCCCTTCTGGAATTCCCTTACGGTATTCCCTTCATACGCCTAAATGGCCGGGACAGTAAAGTTGAGTGAGGTCAGGTAGGGTACCGTTATGCTGTGGTGTTTAGTGAGCGAGATTCGGTGTCTCGAATTGAGTAATCAAAGGATCCGGGAAGGATGAGTGAGATGTGACACAAAAAGTCGGTTTGTTTCTTTTCTCGTCGTGTTGGACCCTGTTTGGCGAAACAAGGGGCGAAGCTAGTGTGCGTACGCGTCATCCACGCCCCAAAGTGGTTGCTGCTCCGTGGGGAACAAAAGTTAGGTAGTTATTTACGATGTAGTTAAAATCGAATGGTCCCTGGTTCCTGGATTTTAGCATGCCGTGGAAAGTGATTACTTACTTCCAGGTCCTGATCCCGTTTGGGGTCACTCCAATTCAAGCAGTTGTCTGATAACCTCAGGTACTCAGGTACGGGGTAATAAGTAAGTAAACCGTGCTGTGCGTGTTGTGCGAGTGCTTTAGATCTGACCCGGACCATTAAATGTTGAAAACACCTGATATCAATAGCCCATTCGCTACCACTATTGAATAGATACCTTAAACTCTGGGCCGACTTCATCACGACTGCCATGTTCTTGTCTCAATCAGGTGTGGTTGTTGGCTGACGTCATAACCGGGGCCTACCCCGGCACACACACCAAGCAGGACATTCCACCAAGCACCAAGATTGCGGGGAAGGCGTTGAAACAGGTATGTAGTGGCGGTAGTGTGGCAGTGTAGAGAACGCAAATAAACTAGGGGTGGCTCATCCATTTCTCTCAGATCAAGCAACTACAATACAGGTACAGATACACTGATACAATCCAACCACTAACCCCGCCCATGAGTACCGTTTTGCCCGTCACAACGCCCCCCCGTCCTGCCCCGAACCATCGGCGCCCAATACCATCCCCCTGAAACCGATATCCTGTAGCCCTTTTCCAGGGCATCCAACAAACTCGAAAATAAAGATAAAAAAAGACCAGAGGACGACGAGCCCATAGATTACTGCATGGTCTTTAGGAAACCATCCAGGTCAAAGCTCTCCTCGTACTGCGTGTTGTCCCACAGCTCCCCCAGGCCCTCGAGCCACGCCGCCTTCTTGCCCGGCTGCCGGACGTCGCCCGTCTCGATGTCCACCATGTCCTCTTCCCGGCCGTCGATATTCTCCTTGCCCTTTTCTGCTATGAGGCTCGGTCCCGACTCGCCGAGGTTGAACAGGTCGAGGATCTGATCCGTGTCCATCGTCGCCAGGCCCGCGTTTTGCTGGTTCACCACCGTGCTGGCGACGTCGATCTTGAACCGCTGCAGGTTGAGGATCTTCTCCTCGAGCGTGCCGCGCGTGATCAGTCGGTACACGTTGACCACCTTCTTTTGCCCGATACGATGCGCCCGGTCCATGGCCTGCAGGTCCTTCTGCGGGTTCCAGTCGTGCTCCACAAAGATGACCGTGTCGGCTCCCGTGAGGTTCAGCCCCAGACCACCCACGCTCGTTGTGAGCAGCAGCACGTCATACGACGGGTCGCTGTTGAACTTGTTGACGATGTCCTGCCGCCGGTTCGCCTCCACTGAACCGTCCAACCGGAGGTATTGCGTTGCCGGAAGCATGCCCTTGAGAACCGTGTTCTGGACCATGTCGAGCATCTCCTTCATCTGGCAGAAAATGAGAGCCCGGTGCGGCTTGATGGGCGTGTACAGCGGGTCTGACGACTCTTGCCCTTCGGTGCCGATGCCGCAGTCCACGAGAAGATCCCGGAGAGCCGTCAGCTTGGGCGCGTGCACCGGGTCCTCGAGGCTCGTGTTTTGCTTGGCCAAGAACTTTTGCGTATCGTCGTAGGACCTGTGGCCCGGCTTCATAACGAGGGCCGGCGAGTTGCAGAGCTTGCGCATGTACTGCAGCGCCTGGAAGATGTGTTGCTTGGCTTCCTTGTCCTCCTTGCCAGCCTGCTCCGAGAGTTTCTGCCCTTCCCTCTTGGTAAAGTCCTCAAACAGCTTCAGCTGCAGGTCGCTGAGGTCGCAGTAGTAATTCTGGAGGATCTTGGGCGGGAGGTCGTTGAGGACTTCCTCCTTGAGACGGCGCAGGAGGAAAGGCAACACCTGCTTGTGCAGAGCCTCGATGGCGAGCGCACCCGCTTCCTGTTCCTTCGACGAAGCCTTGCTGTAGCGGCTATTAGCGATCGGCTTCGCAAACCGGTC